AGTTCGTAACTAGAGGTACCACTGTATATTAAAAGTAATTAAAAACAACAGTTAAAAACAAAGTCAACAATTAAAAACCTGAGGTAAATTTCAAGAAATTACAATTAACAAGTCAAAAAATCTACAGAATAGAAGGTTTAATACCTACGTTATACTTCTTTTCTACTAATATTTCAGTATGAGTCCGGGAAAAGCCATTTATAATAGTAAAAAAAAAGTCCATCCTCCTCAACTCCTATATAAAATATAACTCCAATAATACAAACTGATTCCCATCAGCAGACTAATGGCAAATAAATTAAATATTTAGACGCAGAAAACTGTTTTGGCTGTGCCTAAATTACTGGAAATACCAGTGCCATGCAAATCTGGAGGGAGAAAATTTTAAGATCTAGCAGGCTCTGCCTTGTCGTTATCAAGACCACTTTAGAAAGTGGAGACGTTCAGAACAAAGATTCTGTAGGAGATTTTGCCCGATGAAAACGCTTATATTCCTGTGCTACTGGTAATTCTTTTAAGCTTCTCAGCTCTTTAGCTGAGGATTACAATTCTGCTGTGCTATTTGACAACATAAAACTATCAAACTGTGGAAACTGGAACGACTTCATGCGTTCTAAACCTATTTATTCATTAAGCAAATGTGTATGCCACAGTTTCATTCCGACCCAGGGAATGTATAAAATAATAAAAGTTGCATGATAAATACAAATACAAATACAATACAAAATACTTTAATGACCAAGTATAAAATATATACAAGGAATTTGTCTTCGGTGACGAACAGCAAGATTGGTGACGAACAGCAAAAAAATACAGCACATCTTCATGCGTTCTAAACCTATTTATTCATTAAGCAAATGTGTATGCCACAGTTTCATTCCGACCCAGGGAATGTATAAAATAATAAAAGTTGCATGATAAATACAAATACAAATACAATACAAAATACTTTAATGACCAAGTATAAAATATATACAAGGAATTTGTCTTCGGTGACGAACAGCAAGATTGGTGACGAACAGCAAAAAAATACAGCACATCTCTAACTAGACACTCACGGCGTCATACACAACAGCTTCTCTAGTTGGGTTTTCTTTTTACATACTTTCATTTTTTTCTCTTGATAATTAAATATTAAGTCTCAAATATTGAAAAGGTCATTGGGAGACCAATGTTTGTCAGGGTGTCCATAAAAAAATCTGGGCTGTATTCACAGATGGATATAAATTATATATTGTCCATTATTTTTAACATTTTAAATGTTAAAATGTTATATATATTGTTTATATTATTATAAAAAATACATTTTTCAATTTTGCTGATTTCAACAACTGGAATAACAAAACACTAAAAGAGACTTACTCGAGATAAAATGTTTTCTAGTGACTCCGTGAGTGACCTTTTCGCTTTGCTCTTGAACATGTCTAGCTTGAAACGAGTTGTGCTGTTCGGCATTTCGTTTCCCATGGCTTCTACAGAGGACTGCGTGGTCTAGCAGATTAAGATAACAAATACATTTGAAAAGAAAATAAAGATAAATGAACAGGATTCCTTTAAAAGAATTGTTCATGTTTCTATTGCATTTTTCCACGCTGTTCTCACAGTGAACATTTTCAGAATGAAAAATGAGATGATTGAGAATGCAAAAGGCTTCACAAAATCCTCCAGGGAGGTTTTTATCAGTCCTTGTTTGGTCACCTTCTTGGCAACCATTTGGCACAGTTATACAATCATCATCATCAGCATATAAAATTAAAAAAAAATAGAAGTCGTTTTTCGGCAGCTTAAGAAAGCTTAGCCAATCAGGGATCAAATACTAGCGTAGCCAATCAATTTTAATTGTGAACTTGCATTATACATCTAATTCCGAATGTAAGGATCACTGAGCTGCTGTTTATTTTTCAGTAAATTTTTAACCCAAAATGATAGCTTAAAAAAAGTTATTTGATAGCAGGCAAACACAGGTCTTTATTAAACAAACAAAAGATGAAAATTCAAATATGAACAAATGCTGCTTCGATTTTGTTCATGAGGTGAGTAAATAAAGGAGATTCAAGTACAGCCATTTCAGGTTTAATTGCTGTTTCTAAGATTCAGAAACACAATGTGTCCTACAACTTTATTTTTCCCAAATTGGTTCTAAAGTTTTGGTGAGGATCACATGATTTGAGCAAAATAGTTAATGTGTTCCAGTTCTACATCCTAGCTTTCTACTTGCAAAAAGATTTGTGTAGAGCGATTTTCAAATATGCATTTCCCCAAGGTGTTTTATCCCTTTTTTTAAAAAATTGAGTCCTGCTCTCCTTTGCAGATGCTGTTAGAAAACATTTTCCCCACCTGTTTTTCAAAACAAATATAGGAAAAAGAAAAAAAACTGCATACCTGTTTAACTTCACCAAGGTGAATGTGATCTTTCTGTTTTTCTTCATACACATTTCTTAGGATAGACATTATTAATTCATTCTCCTTCTGTTCATTTCTTGGCCTTATTTTCTATACAAGAAAGAATGATATCATAATCTTTGCTAACTCACTGTATAACCAAATCGCTGCAAATATCATAAACTAGTTGGCCACATCAACTTCATAATATACAGCTGGATTTATGAAACGATTTATCTTAATTAGCCTTCTATCCTCTGTCATTCTAAGAAGTGAATGGCCAAGCAAATAATCCTGGCTTCTAAAGGCAATGATTATTTAATTGACTCCAAAAGATTTAAAATCATATGCCTGTTATTTCTAGGCTTTTCCACATCATTTATGGGCCATCAATGCTACAAAAGTTTGCCTCAACCCTGTATAAAGCAAGATGTTTTCGACAAATATTTCCTATTTAAAAACCTAGATCTATTTTAGATTCATCAAGGCTGAAATCAAAGCACTGGACAAGTCTCAGATAACATAATAAGAAAAACACAGCTTATCATGTTGAATTATAAAATCAACCAATGACATTTAATGATGGGCAAGCAATTACTACCACTAACTTAGTGCAACTTGTGCTAAGAGGCGCAAACTAGAGATACAAACTAGAAAATAGGTTTTTCCTCCAAAGAAAAATGCCAGCAAGATTACCTGAACTTCCTCAAAGATGGAGCCCTGCTCCTGGTTATTCAGTGTGGTTAGATGTTTTTGCAGCTCCAACTTAGTTTTAGAAGGATGCATCCCTAGCAAATAACAGATCAACATTAAGTCAGCAGAGTATCTTTTGGAGAATTCTTGGTCACAGGATATTCACAAAGTGTGCTATGGATGGATGAAGCCATGGTGGAAACAATTTGCTCTTTCATCCCCTGATGAAAAGCAGCCGTAGCAACTGATTAAGATTCACATTTGTTTTGGCCCCAGACTTACTTATTTATTTATATACCACTCCATTAGACTCTAGGCGGTTAATGATCATAAAAAGAGGTAAGATAAACAGAACATAACAATAATCATAAAACTATTAAAAATCCAGTTCTCTCAAACACAAATAAAAGTAGAGAGATCACAGCCGAAAATAACCAACTGCCAGTATCTGAAGGCAACTATCTATCGTTCTCCAAAGGTCCTATGACATAAAACTGTGGTTATGCCTTCCTGAAAGGCATAAAATTCATTCAAAAGTCCTGAAGATACCTAGAAACTAAGCCATGTAAGGCTCTACATAATAAAACTAGCACTTGGAATTGGATTTTGAAACCTCCTAGTAGCCCATAGAGTGCCTGATATCAGATGGCTGAAGCAACTCTCACCCACCAATATTCGCCGTATTCTGCGATTTCTGGGTCATTTTCTTATTGCTGGTCTATGGCTTTCATGAAGATTGATTTGATTTGGGTCATTATCACGGCTGCCCCATGTAAAGCTCATTACAGTAGTCCAACTTGGAAGCCATGAGTTACTATTGCTATGGCAATAACGTTAATCAAAGGAGCAAGGAAACTCTGGAGCCAGGCTCCTATGCAAGAAGAATCATTTTGACTGGTGACTGCTGCTCTGGTGTGCAGCACGATCCAACAGGACTATGATGAACGACGTTTCAGCTCTGCTCATTCATCTTTAGCCAACTCAGTAGTAAAATATCCTGTGGCACTCTTGTGAGTTTCCTGTGCTGGCCTAGGGCGCTGCAGTGCTGTGGTTTGGGAACCACAGTGGTCAGTATTTCTCTCAACCCTTCTCCAGTATTGCTTAAGTAGCAAAGATACATTTCTACACCCTAAAAATTAAACAAAACTTTTTGTTCCTGATTATACATCGATTGCTAACGCCGAAATTTATTAAAGAAAACACATATACCATACTGTGTAAGTCCTACCTTCTATCTTTTCACAAAGTTTATGAAGAATCTGCATCGGACACCCATCACAGAATTGGGACTGTGCTTTGGAATTTTGCTGGATCGCAGCCACACTGAAAGCCTGTTTCAAGGTCATCATGATCTCATCCACCTAATGAAAGAAAAGTCAAAGTTGTGGACTTCCTTGTTGAAACTGTAGCACAAAGAGTGTTATTACAACATAGCTGGACTGTTTCCCTGCTGTACTAGACTTGCAGTGACAAGAATCAAGTTTTAGAGAGCAAGTTCAATTATTTAAGCATTTACTGCACTTCTCCTATGCTTCAGGCAATTTATAAACCAGAAGACTACAACAGTTTTAGGTTTACAACTAAAATCAATAAAAATAAATCCAAGCACGTGAACAGCCCTGAAAGAAAACTGCAGAAGAGCAGAGCTAATAGGTTAAGTAATACACATGTTTTGCAGAACTGGGACTCCAAATCTGCTCTGTTAGGTTGGGAGGACTTCTTGGAGTGGAGGGAAAGGGAAGAAGAATAAAGTCCTGTAGAGTCGGGGAATGGTTGTTACTACCATGTTGGATTTAAATTGGACTTTAAAGTTTCTATTCTGATCAATGATTTCTTAAAAGATGTCCTTCAGCTGTAATGCATATTCCCCATCCATCTTAAGGAGGTGAAATTTCAGGCACAGGGCTGAGCCTGCTTTTCAAGAAGCTATCCTTTCTTCTTTAAAATGAAATTGATTTTTTTTTAAGATTGCATGCCAATTTGTTTATTGCTTATTCTTGCTCTTTTTATAGATTATTACTGTCGCTTTCAGTATGTCTATATACTGCTTGCAGTTCGAGGTGGTTGTCCTGAAATCCTGATATGAAATCAAGACTCAAAAGCCTGATCAACAAAAATATGTCCACCAATATAGCACAGATCACCCTAAATAAGTTGTGCAATAGCAGAGCTGTAGCCAATCAAAATCTGGGACTGCAGTGGGTAAATAAAATAGGCAGTGTGTTGCAAATTCAGCACTTGCAATTTGCATAGCAATGATTTGCTATTCTAAACTAATAATTTAGGCTTAAAAAAATATCGAATCAGAGTCAGCCTTCAGCACTGGGACCTGCTGCTGCTTCTTTAAATCAATGGAGTCACAAAGAGTAACCGAAAGACGTCTCTTAAGCGTTTTCGCAACTGGTTTCCTTCTAACCCTCAGGGTGACTTACGATCCCTACATTCTGTGCAATGAGTAGGTCTGTCCCTGTCATGCTCTCGAGGCATCTTGAACAATGCAGTTTTCTTCCAACTTTTCAAGTTCTTACCAGGGCTTCATCTGTACACTGAAATACGTAACATACAAAATGGAAGCCGCCATTTTTTGAAGGTTCTCTGCAGATAAATCCAAAGTGATCCACATGTCGAATCCCCTGCAAGGCAAATCATTGCATCAAATGTTTACAAAGGAATGGCCATAAATAGCATTGTTCATAGCGAACAATACTGCCACATACGATGTATTTTTAAAAATACTTTTTAAAGATGTGCACATTAAGTGGTTCTATTCAATCAGGTTTTCAACTCCGTGAGTTATTACATCCAGACTTGAAAATGGAACTAGTTTTAACTACAGCTTATCCAGATTCGTCAACCAGAGATTGAAATTTTCTTTTTCAGACAAGCCATAGTTAAATATAACCACATTTTGTCCCACTTTGATAAAATGATAAGTCACAGTTGAAAAAAGGAAAGGACACCCCTTACAGCCTATGATGATGGTACTGAGAAAAAAGGAAGGGTTAGTTCATCGTCTTTTTCAAGTAGCATTAAACTATGGTTTAGTTGCCTTCATAATTATAAAACTCTGAAAAAAGTTCTCAGAGTCTTGCCCTTATTTGTCTTACAGAAAGATTAAAGTAAAATGCTCTAAGCAAGTCATTCCACAAGAGACACAATTTAGCAGAAGTCTCAAGGGAATGTAAATTGTATAATATGTTAAATGATTTTTCCATGTTCATGGGCCGATATGTTAATATAGTAAAATTTGATACTCTTCATGTGCAACGCTCATATCTGACCTTTTGCTGGTTCAGTTCAGGAAGGGCCACCAGAGAACCCTGCCCTGAAAAAATCTGGAGCTATTATAGGCATTCTAAGTCCTTTAAAGATACACAGGAGATAAAACAAATGGGGAAACCTTGTACAACTCGTAAGATGCAAATCCCATCTGTCTAAAATCTAATCAGTGTATTTCTACAGATTTTTAATAAAATGCTGGTGGAAATGTGACCCTAAAAACAGGGACATTGGAGCAGATATTCATGGTTTGAAACTTTCTAAAATACTCTAGATATCCCCTTTATTTCTCCCTGTGCAACTGGAACAAATAAATAGGAAGCTGTTAATTAATTATAGTTTCCACCTTTATTTATTTCAACCTCAAAATTATAGCTATCAGATTGAAGGCAAATCAGTGGAGCTAAAGATGAATTGACTGAGACGATTTATTTCAGTAGATAGCTTGTATAAAGCAAACCTTACACGTGTAACACAAAGCATTTAGCGTAAATCAAACTTACTGAGAATGCAGAAAATGCACCAGTTTACCTAGCTCCTAATCTTGAAAGAATAAAAATTTTAGCTTTCATTTGTAGGCTATGGAAAAATAACTCGACCATATGGTCATAAAGCACAAAGTCAACAGCAGGATAATTGCTGTGTAATGAAGAATGTTCTGAAGGAGTTTGTAAAACAGTTTCATAAACCTGAATTCTAAGATTTTTCAGTTTTCACGTCTTGCAAGTCTGCACTTCTTTACGGCTGATAGTGCTGCTATAGAAATATTTTAATCCGTGGTCTCATTTTTTAATATTTTATGCTTTTCTTGAAGAAGCAACCCTGGGATGGATCTGGTTTTAGGATTAATGACTCTCCTGAATAGAAAAGGGAAGTAAAACAGATCATTTTTCCCTGCTGCACCTTAAAATAAGAGAACACTGTCAACAAATGTTATGGCCGGCCTCCAGGTGAAGATGCAGAATGTAACATATGCCTTGCTTTATTAACAGATGTGAAGATGTGTACTGTAATATTTCCTTCCGCTGGCTGTGCTGCGAGTTAACCGATTAAATGGACCGAGAGTGGGAGTCAGATCATTACACTTTATTTCCTGCTGGCCTGAGAAAATCAGAATTTGACCTTGAGGGCAGTGGCTAAGTGCTGACTCAGAAATACTCCCTGACTAAGGAAATGGTCTCAAAGAAGCTTCTTCTAATTTATGACAGATTTCCTTACAAAGAACCGTTCTGGGATTTTTGTGAACATGTTTGAAAGTTCTTTTTATAAGTAAATCATTATTGGCAGATACCCATTTAGTATTAGGGGATTTCCACGAAATTACATTGTCCGCTTTCATGGAATTACATTTTCTGCTTTGAACAATCTGGAAAAAATGACAAAAACAAAGCTTCATGAAGTTGGACTTCACCAAGGAAGCAAGTTTTTAAAAATGTAGTGGCCAAAAAACATGTACGCTTTTTTCTCTCCATCACAAACTAGCTATATTTGGCTAATAATCCAGGGTTTCCTAAAATACAGAGGGCTGGCCTTCAAAGTTTTCGTTAGTTCCCTTGGCAAGATTCTGGCTTGATACAAGACAGTGGGTACCCATTATGTCCATACAGGGGGCTTTTGCTAATCCAAGAAAAGCAAGCCAGGATCATAACGTACCATAGGATTGTCAGTAAAATGAATGAAAATATTTTAATACAGTCCAGAAATTCTAACAATCAGCTAAGTTTATAGTCTGCAGCTAAAATCCCAGGAATGTCATCATCACGTATCACCCACCATTGTTTTGAGGTAACCCATTTTAATTGGCTGCACAAATACATTTATTCTGAGAATTCCTAGTAGAAGCAAGTTTATTCAAATTCTACAACTTAATAATAGTTATTTTGTACTTTTACCACAATGGCACCCTTATTTTTGCCCTTCCAGAAACTGCTAAAGACATGGCTGTTCTAGAGGGCCTTTGGGAATTGAATGGTCCTCATTAAACTTAGTGTTTTATGGTTATTTATGCATTTATTGGCTTTTATGCCTTCACTCCATTTTTATATTTTTTGTTGTAAACCACCAGAAGAAATTCTTATGGAATCCTGAAATATATAAACACAACAATAAATAAACAAACAATACTTCCTGATTCTATTGGGAAACATTTAAAAGTTGGTGGAAATATATTTTTAAATTTACAAGATTGCAATAAAGCGGTAATTTAATTAAACAGCCAAAACAACAATGGGAGTTTGTTATACACCTGCAATGAAAATAATAATAATAATAATAATAATGATGATGATGATATGTGGAAACCAACAAACAGAAATCAATCAGAGACAAGAGAATGAAAAAGGAATGAAAATGTTGATACCTGAGAGCAAAAAGAAATTTCTTTAAAGCTTTTCTCAATAACTACTTTTTTGGTATCAGGACTAATGATGTAAACTTCAGACTGCCCAATCTGAAAATGATAAAAACAATGTTAATAAGCTTTATTATGCAGCCAGAATATGATTATTGTGCTCAGCATTTTGAGTTGGTATGCTCGGAGCATTCTGCATAAGCAGGATGCAAGGGAGGATTTAAATGCTATTTAATGTAATATTAAAAACTGAATTTGCTTACGTTAAAAAATTAAGCCGACTGAACAAATGGCATGTTACAATGTTTGTAAATGATGAAACAAATGGTGCAAATTCTGCCCCTTCTGAACTTGTGTGATGTTGCACATAAGTATGTAAGGAAGAGAGTTGGCATTGTGACATCACAATATGTGTTCCATCATTTTCATGTCATTGGGGTTTATGCTAAATGCAGAGGTTTGTCAAATGTATCTCAACCAGGTGTCTGTCCATCCAGTGTTAGCAGTTCTCATAAGTTCTTAGACCCTTTCCTGCTATCTCATCTTTTGGACCTGAAGTAGATACTTCTACATGCAAACATGTGGATTAGAAATGAACTGTGGTCTCTCTCCTTAAAGGTCTCCATACACACAGTAATTCATACACAAATATTCATTATTCACTTCAAAGGAGAAGGAGGGACTGAACATTTCTCCCTTTTTGGTTGCGCCTACTCTGAAATGAGTGGGAACATTCACACACACATCAGATGAACTGTAAAATGAAACTACAATATGCATAATGAGCAAAACTGTAATGGGGTTATTTCCCACAAGTAGAGCCTTCACATTTTTTCCTTACATGGCTTCTTGAAGCAAGTTTAATTTTATATACTATGAAGGATGACCAAACTAGAAGTCCAATTCATATAATCTCGCTTTAGTGAGAAGAAGGCAATCTCACCAAAGGTACTTCACCTATTATACAAGCTGCTTTAGGTGTCTATAAAGTTAATGGGATAAACAGACAGCTGGTAAATACATGATCATACAAGTATGCTTATTCAAGCCTGCAGCTTGGGACCGCAGCTGTAGACTATCGTTCTGAAATCCCACATGTTGCCAGGCCATTGTGGATGGAAGGGTTTTAAGAAAGCAGACTATGAGACATTACCTCATAGTCTGTTAAGCATTTTTAATGGGCAAATCTTACCCTATGTTGCTTAATTTTACTTGGAAACTCTTGATAAATATTATGTACATGAAGGCTTGCACACTATTGCACACTGAAATGAGGGCTGACAAACTCACCAAAGTGCCCACCATGTTGGAATTGCTCTCCATAGCAAACAGTTTGTACGTGATGGAACCAGTAGATAATGTAATTTTGTTTTGTTTTAATTTGATAAAACTTCCTGAATGGCTTCCATTAAAAATAAGAACAATTTAAGCACAGCATACCGCATAAAACCATAACATCCAAAGCATAAAAATTAGCAACATGGTATAATGGAATTAAAAGATCTGGCTGCATGGTAAGACCACAGGGAATCTTTTGGGGAGGGATGTCTTATTTGATATGACCCTACCCAAAAGTCCTTCTCCATCCTAGTTATCTATTTCATCATGGACTCTTGGAAGATGTCATCAGGTTGGTACAAAGTGACAGAAGAAGAGTTAGGACTTTGTGTAGGAGTACCATCATAAACTATAACCGTTTCGCATTTTTGTAGAAAAGGTGATTAAATCCCTTTTCTAAAATGAGGACCTTGTTATCTGACCTAGACCTTAATTCCTAATAAGGAGGGAGAGTTTTCAATTGCTCAATTAAGAGGGAAGTGTAAGGTCAGAGATTTTTTTTTCTTTGTTACATCATATCCATTTCCTTAAACTAAAAGACGTGATTACAGGAAGGCACAGTGGTGCTACATGGGCACATAAAAAAGAAGCTTCATAGTTAAGATCAGCATTACCTACATTTTATCTGCTATGAGAAGACACTTATCCTAGGGAATCAATTCCACTGGAATCTACTATGATATATTCCTCAGTAAATCTCTTTCTTTTCCCCAGAGAAGATAATGGCAGCTTCATGCAGTGAAAATATGTAAGGAGAAAAAGGTTGCCCCGTCAGTCCAGTGTGAATCCTCCCATAGCTGCTTCTCAGTTAAAAAAAGGAAAACATATGAGAACATGAAACCAGCCTGTGGGATCAGGTCTAGGTCCATCTAGCCAGCCTTCTGTTTCACATGGTGGCCTACCAGAAGCATCTAGGAAGCATACAGAAAGGAGATCAAGGCAGCCTGCCTCTCCCATTGTTGTTTTTAGGGTTTTACAATGATTTGGTTCTGGGGTGATCATAATGTATACACCATTATTTCCATCCATGCCAGAATACATAACCAATGGTGATGGGGAAGAATTTAATATGGAGCTGTACGGAAAAGGAACAGCCTTCCACCTGATAACATTTTAGCCATTTGCCAGAAAGTCATGACTTATGTTTGTCTATCATTACAACTAGATGCAGAACTACAGGAGGTGTACATATTTTAAGGATAATGTTTATTTTTGCATTAGCTTAAGCATGAACGCATTCTTATTCTCATTCCCTACGCCAAACTGTTTAAAAAGACATAGTACGAAAATAAGACTCACTCTGTTTAACCCATTTAAACATAAAAGAGCACCATTTTGATTTGTACATGTGAACTGGTTGATTTGGAAGAACAAACCTAGGACAATTAGCTTGTTCCTTCACATCAGAGCAAATAAACCCACAAAGGCTTGCAGTTTAGTTTCCCATTTCATCCAAACTGACTGAAAGTTTGCAAAAACTGTCAGGGCCCACAAAAAGAAAATGAAACGGGTTAATGGATGACTTTCTGAGTTTATTTGCTTGTATGAAAAGGAGAGAAAGATTGTGGAGAGCGGGGAAAGGTATGGAACAGATAGCAGCCGGTGAATCGGCTGACAACTCAGAAAGAGCAACTCCGCCTAGTTGGGGAGAAACCTGGAAAGAAGCATTTGAAATGATACAAACAGATTCTGCCTTCATTAGTTCACTATAAATGAGACTGGAAAGCCCCTCTTGAAGTTTCCAAGATTCTGTACGTACCCCAGGTTGGAATTTATAGGCCACGATGCCAACTAATGATGGGCTGAATTTGGCTTCAAGGATCATGAGATGCAGGTCTCTTTTGCCCTAAACACACTGCACTGTCTCACTCACTCCCCAATTAAGCACAGTATTCCAATGATCAGTAATGCAACAATTATCAGTAATGCTAGCAAAGAAAATTGTCCTTTACCGTGAACAACATAATCCGGTTCCCTGCAATATCTGTTGGCTGTACATTTTGCCCATGGATAAATTGGCTTCTTAAGTTCAGAGAAATGACATCGTCATCAAAGGATCTGGCAATGCTGTTACTCTTTAGGCTCCAGGTTTGTAAATCTTTTTTAAAAGAAAAAGAGCGTAGTCCAGGTTGAGAGTAAGATTTCCTCATCGGCTTATTCTCCTGTTCTTCATTAACCAAGGGTTGGAAGACCGAGCGGAATTTATCACTTATGGAAAATCCGCTTGAGTGGTTGGCAGTATCATTTTGATTGGAGGATGAGCCAGAGTCCAAGTTTTTGGTATAACTAACATCATTAAATTTCTCAATGCATTCGTCTATAAGGGCTGGAGGTGCGTTTTTGTGAGCTACCACGACTCGGCCACAGAACAGCACCTCAAACTTTTTGCTAAAAGGATCTTCAACATCCGAAAGATTATTCTGAAACTCTTCCTGGCGTGCGATCTTCCCTGCTTGTCTGATGGTGCTAATAATCTCAGGCACCTGCAAGAAAAAAAAAATCTGTCTTAAAAGAGGAGGAAAATAGGAACAAAAATAGGGTAGAAAGTGATAGAGGCGTGAGTCCATCTTGGAACTGTCTGTACAAATTAATTCTTGGATTTAGTTTGTTTCCTGGAACTACCCCAACTGCTAAGATAATACAGTGGTACCTCTACTTACGAACGCCCCTACTTACAAAATTTTCGAGATACGACCAGCTCTGGCCCCAAAAATTTACCTCGTTGTGCGAACCCCGCCTCGAGGTACGGCCATTTTTCCACCCTGACACGTGGTCCACGGCCATTTTTCCGCCCCTGACACGTGGTCCA